GGGGGGGGGGGGGTTCTGTACATTTATACTTATATTATTTTACTTTCTGAGTTAATAAAATCCCAGACAAAACGTACTTGTTTCTTTCCACACATTTTATAACTCATTGACTATTAGTCTGCAAGTTTTTTGTGTTTACATTTTAAGGAGCTCTGGACCCATATATCTGCTTGTGGCTGCACTTCACCACCGCGGCATTAGAATGGCGCCTATACACATTACTTGATTAAAGATTCTCTGCTAGGGTGAATAAAATACAGATGGCTCACTCTGAAATATGATTTGTAGGCTCCATTAAAAAATGAAAACCAATCCCTGCATGCTGAATCCATTTAGTACAGTGGAAAATATACAATCTCCATTTCAGGGATCTTTGTGGAAAGTTAAGCTGTAGAAGCACGAGGTGCAGTAAGACGGCCATCTGCCAGCACTGTGAATGTGATGACACAGAGGGAGGGAAAGGTAAAAATACAGAAAGGTGGGTATCCATTATAGTGACCACAGAACTGAACCGCTTAACAGGGAGAAACTGAAAACCTTTTCTATAGATTTACAAAACCGAGCCCTCTACAGGGACAACTTCATAATGAAGTATTGTCATACAATATCAATAAATGCTGCTAAAACTCCCAGAATCCTCAGCACCCAAGTCCAATGTTGCAGCCGTTTAGGTGACAAAGCTTCATATACATACTACACAATACAGTTATTTTTCTTACATTTGCTACTAGCTCTTTGCGACATTGTTTTGTTGCTTCCAGCCATGCCATTCTTTTAGAGTGACTTTCATTTGTGTGTCTTAGGGCCCATTCACACCTAAGCGCGGTACTGATACTGTGCACTTAATGGAGAAGTAATGGGAAAGGAAAATGTACTCTTCTCAATTACACTGCAGCTATCACACACCAACTCTATAGATTGAGAACTGAGCAATCACAAACCGCTGATTGCTTGGCTCATGGCTCCTCCCTGCAGAGTGCGGTCACTGTCAGTCACCGTTCCCCGCAGAGATCCCCCCCCAACTTAATGGAGAAGTAATGGGAAAGGAAAATGTACTCTTCTCAATTACACTGCAGCTATCACACACCAACTCTATAGATTGAGAACTGAGCAATCACAAACCGCTGATTGCTTGGCTCATGGCTCCTCCCTGCAGAGTGCGGTCAATGTCAGTCACCGTTCCCCGCAGAGATCC